CTTTCTATGAAGCCACAATTAGCTATAGGGAGGATTTGGATCTTCCTGATTTAGTGTAATAAGGTTTACTTGTTAGTTTATTACATCAGAAAATTTTATTAGTGATCTGCAAAATTTTGCGCCAAATTCTGTTATTGAAGTGTGGTTACAATTATTAAAAGGAACTAAACAGCCACATGCGATGATCTGTCGGCTCAAACGGTCTAATTCAATTAGATACGGGGTAATTGGTTTTTTTTTCAAATTGCTTATTTATTTTACTATGTAGTTATTTGAAATAACCAATAAAAATAACATTACGTTGACATCGATGAAGTCCTCATTAGAAATTATTCGTAAAAATGTAACACAAACCATTGAAATCTACACAAAAATTACGACTTTCAGAAAGGAACCGTGTGACACAGCAAACTTTTTTGATTTTTTTATTTATTTACTTTACGTTGAATTCAATAAATAACAATAGATATTCACAAAAAATGAATTTTGGCTGGGAACATTACAATAGAGACCCACGTTATCGCCCACCAGGAAACTCTCCACCAATGAATCCGTCACCACACCGAGAGTATTTTCCACCGATCTCAGGAAACCAATATAACAACTATCGTAATGTATATAATAATAATAGATATCAGGATGAAAGAGAGCCTGGTTGGGTAAGAGAAAGGAGTCCTCCTCCTTACTCTAGAGAGAGAGAACGTGAAAGAGATAATAGACATCGTGATAATAGAGAACGTAATAGCTCATATCGTGGAAACAATATACCACCACAAGCTCATTATGATCGAGATGGTGGTGGTGGTCAACATAACCCTTATGATTATCGTGAATTTCATCATCACAGAAAAAGATATTCGAGAGAATGGGATTTTCGTCGTAACCCACCACCACCGCCACCACCACCATCACTACCATCATCATCATCAATGCAAAATTACAGAGATCCTCATGATCTCAGATATGATCATAATAAACCCTTAAAAATATCTATACAAAGACGTCCAAATGGTAATGATGATGGTATTAATAACAACAACAATAATAATTACAAAGAGGAATTAAAGAATGATTATCATTTTACTAGTTATTACGGAAAAGAGTATAATAACAATAATAGTAGTAACAACAACAACAATAATAATATTAGCAATAACAATAATTATAATAACAGTAATAATAATAATTTGTCTATAGATTTTGATAATAAAAGTTATATAAAAGTTTCAGAGGCAGATGATGATGATTATTTGGATGATTTTTCAGATTTTAAGGACAAAGATGATTTAAGCAACAGAAATTATTTTCAAAAAGTAAATGAAAATCAAAAAGGTGGTTGGACAGGTTGGCGAAGTATTGAACCTGGTTTTTGTGTATCATCAAGCAGAGATCAGGAAAATAATGAATCATTATCATCTCAAGATGGTGATTTTGGTGATGGTAATAGTACTGCAGCTGCTGATTTATCAGAAAATATAATAGACCAATCCCAAGATATGGAAATTAGTTCTGGTGATACTGATATGCAACAGCAATTGTCTTCTCAAATAATAGATAATCCAAGAACAACAAATATGACAGCTAGTTCTGATCAATTTAAATCAATTGAAGAGTATGTTAAAACAAGTGAAGGACTTAATGCTGATTATGATGATGATGAAAATGCTAAAAATAATAAAGAAAATAATAGTATAAATACTGATTCAATTGGAAAAGAACAATTCAATGTAGAAAATAAAATCATTACAATTGATGAAAATAAAGAACCAAAAGTTTATGATGATAATAATGCTTTTGAACAAAGTTTTAATAATAAAAACAATAAAAATAACAACAACAATAATAATCTGGTATCAGGTATTCAACCAAATATTATTCCTGAAAAACAGTTGCAACAAGAATCATCAAAGACTTTATTTTCATCAACGGTTAATAAAGTCCCATCATCACCATCATCTGCACAATTAAAAGAACATACTGTTGAAAATAATTCTATTGGTGCACAACTTGAACATGTGGAAGATGAGCTCGATTATTATCAAAATCTTTTGAGCAAAATTCAAAAGCAGCGCGAAGAAAAAATGAAACTAAATAGTAATAATCAGAAGACAATGATAGATAATGATGAAAATTTGAAAATTGTTCAACAAAATGTTACCAAACCACAAATGGAAAAAAGTGCAAGGAATAGAATTTCAACTAATAAAGATTCTGAAACTTTTAAAGAAAATACCCATCCTGCTTATCCTCCAAATGAAATAACTTCATCTAATAATAATACTGAAAATATAAAAACTTGTCATATTAAAAAAGAAAACCCGGGGTCTGATAATTGCTATGATGAAGATGAGGATGATTATGACGAGACAAAAAGTAGAACGTCAGAATCCTCCCAAACATCTAACGACGAACCTCAATTATGGGAGGGTATTTATGCTCAAAATAAAGAATTTTTGAGGAAAAGAGTTAATTCTAGATTTTCTGAAGGCTCAGATAATTTGTTGCTAGGACCTGTGAAATTGTATAACAATATAGATGATTATCCATTCTTTCAACAAAATACTGATAGACATAGTCAATTAAAAGCATTTTATATTTCAAATTGTTCGATCGAAGATAAATCAAAAGAAACAAGCTTACAACAAGAATGGAAGGCATTTTTTCAAGCTTGGAAGCAGAATGTTGAAAATTCAGTTAGTTCCAAAGGAAAATTAAAACAAGATGATGATAGTGGGTCTACAGTTGGGTTTGCAGCAAGATGGCCAGTCAGACATAACAGGGGAAAACGTAGAGTTGATGTTATTAGATCTGATGCAGAAATGCAAGATATATTAAATCAGTTTGCTGAAGCAGAACGTATAGCTAAAACATGGGCAAAAATACCACCAATGATATTGGGCGAAAAAAGAAGAGAGTATTCATGTATTATTGACAACAATTCATTTGTTTTAGATCCTGTCACATTTTATGAAATCAATGTTGATTTTAATGCTAATTGGACAATTCAAGAAAAAGAAATTTTCTATGAACAATTTAAATTATATCCAAAGAAATTTGGAAAAATTGCAGCGGCAATTGAAAATAAATCATCTAAAAATTGTGTTTTATATTATTATCAGAACAAAAAAGCATTAAATTTAAAAGAATTAATTCCAAAAAATGGCCGAGGTCAACGGATGCTTACAGCAAATAGTGGTACTAAATCTAGAAAATCCAACAATAACAATTCAACAGCAGCAACAGCAGCATCAACAACAATAACTACAGTAGCTACATCAACAACAACAAATATTTATGATGAATCACCATATTATTTGGCTGCAACTTCTAAAGAAGAATTTGCTGTTATATCTGAAGCTACTAAAGCCAATTCTGCAAATCAACAATTTGTTTATTCTACAAACAACAACAACAGCAGCAGCAGCAGCAGCAGCAGCAGCAGCAGCAGCAACAACAACAACAACAACAACAACAACAACAACAACAACAACAACAACAACAACAACAACAACAACAACAACAACATGAACATGGTGAATAATGTTGAAACAAGAAATAATACAGAAAACCCATTTCAAAACCAACAAGGGTTAGCAATGGCAGGTCAACCTGACGTTGGTATTGATGAAGCAGCACGTGTTCTTACAATGATGTCATTGGAGAATGGACTAGATACTCTTTCAAAACCTTCACAGCAACAGCATCATGAAACAATAATATTGCCTATTAATAATAACAATAACAATACATCAAAAGGCAAAAGTAGATTAAAACAAAATGAAATTATGGATGGCAGTGGTGGTAACAAGGACGGTGTTGATGACGGTTCAGGTAAAAAAACAACCACAGGTGATGGTCGTACTACAACAGGGTTGAAAGAAAAAAAGATATCATCTTACTGGAATAAAAAAGAAATAAACCAATTTGAACAATCATTGAATCTCTATGGAAGGGATTTTAAAAGAATTTCTGAATTTATTAAAACCAAATCTGAAGTTCAGGTTAAGAATTATTACGAAAAACAAGTAAACAATAACACTAATTATATTAGACGTAATTCAGATAATAATAACAATTACAACAATAATAATAACAACAATACTAATGATAATAATAATAATTCAACATCAGCAAATAATGATATTTTAAAAAATACATCTTCAGAAAAATCCGATCAAAACATCAATATAATGCAAAAGGTTAAAAATGAAGAAACTTCTATTGTTAATCAGAGAGCCACCAATATTCAAAATAACTTTTTGTCACCAACATCTGAACGAATAATGACTACAAAATTGCCAAATATATTAAATTTATCATCATCACATACATCGTTACATGCTACGCAAGGACATCATAATGATTCTGAGTCACAAAAACCAATGAAAATATCATCAACCCCACCTGCAACAAAGAGTTCTGTAGCATTTGTATTGAATGAAACTAATGATTATGATGAGCCCACATCACATTATGGCCGTAATAATAGTAATAATAATAATGACAATGATGGTGAAAGAACAAATATAAATGATAATGATAACATTAACAAAAATAATAAAAGTCCTTATATTTCACAACAACTACAAAAAAATACAAATTTGCACAGTAGTAGTACTTCAAGGACAGTTTCATCATCAAATGAAGGAAACAAGCAAAATATTCTTTCTCCAATCTCATCATTAACTGCAAAGTTACCACAATATATGACTTCTAATCAAACAATTTCTTCACATCATCATACATCAACACCTCAACCTCAGTCAATACCTCCAATACAACATATTCATCAACAAAAAGATGTGGATGCACAAATGGATGCACAAAGAAGGCAACAGCAGCAGCAAACATTTTTCCCATTAATAACTGGCATTATGCCTAGTACATCAAATCAACAACAATCTCAAACCATTTTTCAACAAGCTCATCCACAACATGTATGGGTTGACCAACCTTCACGAATGCCTTGTTTCATGCCACCTCAACAAGCCCATCAACAGGCACAGGCTCATCCACAACAAGCACATCAGCAACCTCATCAACAGATGCATCAAAATTTGCTGCAACCTCTTCACCAACCACAGGTACACCTTCAACAACAACAACAAACACATCATCAACATCAGCAGCAGCAGCAACACACAACACTTCCTCAACCAACATCAAGCAACCAACATCACTTTCTTCAACAACAACAATTTCATCATCATCATCCGCAACAGCCGCCACCACCACCATCATCACAACAACAACAAAAAAACAACAAGTATCATGAGTATGATGCATCTAAATTGTATGGTGGTAGTCAAAATCAATATGATCGGTGGTATGATAAAAATTAATTTATTTAATTTGATTCTATTTCAAAAGTTTTTATATCTAATTTTCAATAGATTATTGTGATATTTTTGATTATTAATATATACAAAAATCATCTTAGAAGACTAATTAATGGTGAATATGTATATTTTTACTAAAGAAATAATATTTTGAATTCAATTTTATATATTAAATATACTAAAATATATATATCTGCACAAATTCAATGAATCTAAATAAGATATTGAATGAGCATATGCAGTGAGAATGTAATGAGTCAAAAAATCTTATTATATATAATACGTTCAATTAATAAACGAGAATAAAATTATTGTTAGCAAATTTCTAAAAATAACTTAGAAAGAGAAGATAGGCCCAACCAAAGTTATATTTCAAATATATATGAGTGTGTATGTGGTGATCCAGTCTTACTGGTTTCTGCTAAAAGGTATTGGTTCCATAATTTCACACATATGACGGAAGACAGTGTAGATAGCTGCGTTGACATCTCTATTCCAATATTTAAGGATTCTGATGTACCTTTAGGGCATATATTACAAATCTTGTATGGCAGGAGGAACAGGCCAAAAGAAAAACTTAATATTCAATCTAATATAATTCTGGAACACATAAATGAATTACTTACTATGCCGGTTCGGAATTCATTAACATATTTAGTGATGCATCTCTTCAACTCATGGAAAAGTTTTTTTTGCTAGACATGTCCATAAGAAGAAGAGAAGGCAGTACCACTGAGTATAATAACAATAGGTCTATATCGCCTTCTGCCTTCCAACATAGCCAATTAAACTTCAAGCACCAGAATTGGACAGCACTATAAAAGAGTGTAATATCTAAGGACATATACGAATGGTTGCTGCCACTAATATAGGAAGACGGGATGTCATCAACTAATGATGATTCTATCAGATATGAAATTATTGGTTAATATGATATGAAGAATATGATGATGATGCAAGTAAAGGTGGGTGCTGCAATTAAGATGTTGCAACACAACATAATGTTGCAACATTTAGGAAAGTCCCTTTAATGCCGCAAGGTCCGCAATTAATCGCAACAGATAATTAATGGTTTCGATTTTAGAAATCCATAATGGGCACTGTAATTAAGTCATTGCAACTTTAAAGATTGTATCCAATTTAGAAATATTAACGTAATCATATAGTTGGCATTCTAAACCAACCAAAATTTGATTTTTTCATAATGAAGAAATTTGGGAATAATTAATTACAGTGCCAACTATACAATATCTGCAATTATGACATGTAAGGTCACTTACTAAATTATAAATAAATTTTATTTATCAAAGTTGTAAGAAAAAAAAAAAGAAATACATTAACTAATTCATCTATATCAAATTCATCCTCGTTATCGTTCTCATTAAGATTAACCGCATGTATTGTAGAAACATCCACATACTCTATTGTTATAATTGACAAAATTGAACTTTCATCTTCAAACTTTCACCTTCAAAACTTTCACTTAGGAAGCTACAATTACAGATCATCTATAATCATTAATTGCTTATAATAACAATTGACCAACTTCAAAATACTAAAACAAAAAAAAATTGTCTCATTTTGAAAAATTTAACCGATAAGTTTTATTGTTCATGGCTCAAGCTTCAAAACTTATCGGCTGGTTTTTTCTTAAACTGAAAATTGGCAGAGCCTTAGCATTTTGAAAATTCCGA